GTAACAGACAATACTGTTACAAATGAGAAAAAAGAAACAGCCCAGCTGGCATGGCTCAGCGGCTGAGCATCAACCTAGGATCCAGATCACGGTTCGATTCCTGGTCAGGGCACATGCCCAGGTTGCGGGCTCCATCCCCAGTGGGGGCTCTCAACCTTGATGTTTTAATCTCTCTACCCCTTTCCCTTCCTCTCTCTGAAATCAATACAGACATATTCCATTTAAAAAAAGAAGAAAAGAAAAAAAAAAGGAAATAAATGAAATAAAGCTCACCATTGTCCAGGCTTTCTGCTTGGGAGTAATTTCAAGGCTGTGGTGGAGAGAATCCAAACAAAGCCCAGCAAATGGGTTGAGTTGAGGAGAAAAGAGTTTGGGGAAGCCAAGGTAGCTAGAATTTTCAAAGAATGAGAGAGGGAATGACATGAAGAAAGTTCTAGAAATTTGCATCAGGGGCTCCCTGTGTCTTTGGTTGAATGCCAAGGAGTGCAGGCACAGAGTAAAACCCCACAGGCTGGAGAAACACAACTCCTGAAGAAAGGTTATTGAGGAAGAGCAGATGCTAATTTTCAGAGCTCACTGTAGTCTGGAGAAATCTGAGTTCCCACCAGCTGGAGTGAAGACACCTTATCAAACATATAGGGCCTTCAGTAAAGACACAGAAGGGGGCTAAATTAGCCCTATCGTAAGGCTACTCTAGATAAACCCTACAAGGTCTTAAAAACAAGTTTTGAAAGAATCAACTAATTCACAAATAATTTAAAACTGCTGTCTAGCCCTGCCCAGGCAGCTCAGTTGGTGGGAGCAGCATCCCTACATCAAAAGGTTCTGGGTTGGATTCCCAGTCCAGTCCCTGGTCGGTCCATGTTCAGGAGGCAACTGATCGATGTTTCTCTCTCACATGGATGTCTCCCCCCTTCCTCTCTCTCTAAAATCAATAAGCATATCTTTGGGTGAGAATGAAAAACAGCAACAACAACAGCTGCTATCTAGGACAAGGTCCAACACCAAAGAAAAACAACAAAGTCCAGAATTCAACAATACAAAACCTACAAAATGAGCATCTCATCACTAGACATATGAAGAGGTAGGACAATGTAACATAACCAGAGGAAAAATAGGTCAATACAAACAGACCCACAAAGGACAGCAATAATAGAAATGGCAGATCAGTATGGTAAATCAGTTGTTATAAATATGTTCTATATAATTAAGAATTTAAAGCAAAATGTAAACATTAAAAGGACAAAAATGGAATAAAGATGGAATAAAGAATAAAATGGAACTTTTGGAAATAAAAGATGCAATAGCTGATTGAAACAACCTAAGTGTTTATCAAGAATGAATGAAAAAAGAAGATGAGGTATAAATGTATGCAATGGGATATTATTCAACCATGAGAAAAAAGGAAATGTTGCCATTGTGACAACATGGCTGGACCTTGAGAGCATCATGCTAAGTGAAATAAGCCAGACAGAGAAAGACAAACACTTTATGATCTCACTTATACATGGAATCTAAAAAAGTTGAACTCATAGGAACAAAGAGTACAATGGTGCTTTCTAGAGGCTGAGGGTGGGGAAAATGGGGAGATGTTGGTCAAAAGGGTATAAACTTCCATTTATAATATTATTAAGGTTTGGGAAATCTAACGTACAGCATAGTTATTATAGTTAATAATACTGTGTTATATACTTGAAAGTTGCTAAGAGAGTAGATCTTAACTCTTCTCACCACACACAAAAAATGGCAATTATGTGACAAGATGGAGGCATTAGCTAATGCTATATTAGAATCATCTTGCAATATATAAGTGTACCAACAACACATTGCACATCTTAAACTGACACAAAGTTATGCATCAATTATATCTCAATATAGCTGGAAAAAATAAATGTAAAAATGTATGATGGCTTATAATAATTAAAAAATACAGTATCTGAATTGAAAATTTCACTGGATATAATTAACAGAAGGTTAAATACTGCAGAAGAAAAGATCAGTGAATTTAATAGAATATATATTAATAGAATATATCCAAAATGAAGCACAGAGAATAACATGACTGAAAAAAAATTAATAGGGTATCAGGAATCTATACAGAATAATATCAAGCAGTTAACACATGTGCAGTTGTAGTCCTAGAAGAAGACAGAGAAGGGGGACAAAAATATTTAAAAAAATAATGGCTGAAAATTTTCCAAATCTAATGAAAAACTATAAACCACAACCTGGTACCACTAAATTCCAAGTAAAAAATGCTAAAATTAAATAGACAGACACTACCAAGTATTGGAGAAGATATGGATGGCCTGAAATTTTATACACTGCTGCTAGGAATATAAAATACAACAATACTTTGGAAAACAGTTTGGCAGTTTTTAAATAAAATTAAACATTATCTTACCATATGACCTAGCAATTCCACTCCTAGGTATGTCCCTAAGAAATGAAAACAAATGTCCACACAAAGACTTGAATGCAAAAGTTCATAGCTTTATTTGTAATAGCTCCAAACTGGAAACAATTCAAATATCCACCAACAAGTGAAGGAATAACGTTGGTGATATAACACAATGAAATACTACTCTGTGATGAAATGGAGTGAACCACTAGCCATAGTATGGATGCATCTCAAAAACAACTTGCTGACCAAACGAAGCCAGAAGCAAAAGAGTAAATACTATACATATAATTACATTTACTTAAAATGCTAAAAAAAAGATCTAATCTGTTACGAAAGAAAATAGATTATGGTTTGCCTGGGGCCAGGATGGAATTGACTGGGGTGGGACACAAGAATTTTTGGGGGTAAGGAAAATGTGCTGCACCTCATTTGGCAGTGGTTACAAGGGCATATAAATTAGTCAAAACTCACTGAAATGTTCATTGAAAATGGGTGTTTATTTTACTGTATGTAAACTATGCATCAATGAAAGTGATTTTTAAAAATTTGTAACTTTCATATACATCTGAAAAAACTAATTAGAAAATGTTATGAAAAAATTTCATCTACATCAATAAAAATGCACAAAATGTCTAAGAACAAAACTATGAAATAGTCTAGATCTTTATAAAAATTATAAACACTGTAGTACTTAAGATAATACCTGAATAATTAGAGAAATGTTTCACATTTGTGTGTAAAAGCTTCAATATAATAAAGATGTCATCCATCCCTCCAATTAACTTATTAATTCAGTTCTATACCAATTAAAATCCTCTCAAGGATTCTTCATTGAACTTGAATAGCTAATTCTAAAATTCATTTGGGATAATAAGAGCTTAGAAGGAAAAACCAAGTCATTGTAAAAACAACCACACTGTTTTTGCGAAGGTAAAATGGTTAAAACTGTGTAATCGTGGCACAGAAATAGACAAAATAGGTTGGAAGAAAACAGAATACAAAGGGTAGAAACAAATTTATGGGGTTTATTACAGGATAAAATTAGCATTTGAAATCAGTGTGGGAAGAAAGAACTTTCCTATAAATGGTGTTGAGACATGACCTATTCATGTGGAAAATAATGTAGCTAGGGCCCCACATATAATAAATTCTAGCTGTTCTAAAGAATTTTAAAAGCTGAACTTAAAAGTAATAAGAATAAAATAGAGAGGAACATATTTGTGACTAGGAAGCCAAATGACTTTCAGAATGACTCATAGAAAGGCATTAGACATAAAGAGAAATATTGTTAAATTTGATTATATTAAAAACCTTTTGGCATATCAAAAGCAGCTATATTCTGACTCCCTCTACCCCCTCTTTTTTTCATTTTCAAGGTCAAGTGAATGGTTTTGTGTATTGAACATTCTATCTGTTGGAAATAATAAAATATTTATTTAGGTTAAAAAGTCACCATAAGCAAAGTTAAAGACCTAGTGGTGCACTGGAACAAGATATTTGCAATAGCTATAACAGGCAAATACTTAATATAATGAATAAGAAAGAAAAATAACTCAATAGAAAAACAGACAAAGGATATGAACAGGTTAGTCACAGATAGAAGATATGGCATATAAAAATATACAAAATTATACTCCTTTCTCTATGAAGACTTAGAAGCCTGGAATGTTATTTTTAAAGATCTAGAATGATATAAAACTCATAAGAGTTGTCATTTTGGGTAGGGGAATTGGCAGTAGAATTTGAAGGCATGCTCAAAAGGCCTTTTTTTTTTTTTTTTTTTAAATATATCTTTATTGATTTCAGAGAGAGGAAAGGACAGGGAGAGAGAGATAGAAACATCCATGATGAGAGAGTCATTGATCGAGCCCCCAACCCGGGCATGTGCCCTGACCAGGAATTGAACCCCAATCGCCTGGATCCCAGGTCGACGCTCAACCGCTGAGCCACGCCTGGCCGGGCAAAAGGCCTTTTTTAATAATAAAATTTAATTAAAAGATTCATTGAATTTGGCAGTAAGTATATAATGGGTGAACTTTGCTATAAATTTTATTAGAATGGATATGTGGAGGCAAAAGTTAAATGGATGGAAAAGTGAAGAGGAGTTCAGAATCCAGAGATAGAGATTGTAGACTATTATTCTGAAGGATTTGGGCAGGAAGGAAAGTGGGTGATGGAAAATAACAGATGGAATATTGGATCTAGGGAAGAGTGTTTGCTTATTTTTTTGGTTATAATATCTATATCTATACAAAATCTCTCACATATATGTATATGTAATACATACATGTCATGTACAAGGAAAAGACTATTAGATAGATTAAAAACAGAGATAGGTTACAATATAGGAGAGAATGAATAAATTGATGAAGTGAATTTTCTTGGCATTAGACATTTAGGGACTATACATGTTTGTCAAGAATATGGTAGATTTAGAACATGACTGCTTCTGACCAACTGATTTCCAAGGTGTTCTACGACTGTGAAAACAACTTTGATGAGAAGCTTGTCTATTCAATATTCTGAATATATCAATAATTTTAAACCAAGCATCCTTAACTAAATATTTTCATAGGGAAAAATGAGAAAAAGTTACCCTAATAGAAATCCCCATTGCCAGGGAAAATTCATAAGGAAGTGGGAAATAACAGCAGTTGAACATGCCTCCATGAGGCATGGACCCATAGACAATCTTAAACAAACTCTCTTCAAACGCTTCAAAGCCTGAAATATAAACACAGTCATATTTAGGTAAACTTGTAATGGCCAGCAAGAAAATTATTTAAGCAAATATTAAAATACATGGTCTTTTACTAAACTAAATCTTCCTGATCCACTGGGATTGAAATGTTAATACAGATCATCTTATATGTCATCATAGATTGGATTATAAACTATTTCACATTTTATAAAATGTTGTATGTTTTAATTGATTTTAGAGAGAGAGGAGAGGAAGAAAGAGGGAGGAGAGAGAGGGGGGAGAGAGAGAAACCTCGACTTGTTGTTCCACTCATTCGTGCATTCATTGGTTGATTCTTGTATGTGCCCTCACCGGGGATCAAACCAGCAACCTTGGTGTACTGAGAAAATGCTCCAACCAACTGAACTACCTGGCCAAGGCTAAACATTGTTGTATTTTAATTGATAAAAAGATCCATTTTTCTGTGGTTAAATAACTAGTTCTACCTTCCTTAATCTTCCCAGTAAGTAGTGTAATTAAAGTATAGGTTTATATCCATCAGTTAACTTTTAGAGATGAACTAAAAGTTAATAATTATAAATAGAAAATATCAACATGAGAAAAAAGAAAATCACTTAAAAACTGCATAATTAGTTAAAAGGGAGAACTTTAAAATTTTCTCATTGGTTCAAATTTTCTACTGGTGAATATAATAAATCATCACTGTCTATAATTATTTATATTCCTGAGATGCCACATCTATTTGAGAAGCTGTTATGTGAATCTTTTAAAAACCCAAATAGATTTATGATCCCTAGATAGTAATATTTTAGGAAATATTATAAAAGATTAGCTTTTACAATAATGCAAAGATAATCAGGAACATACTTTTGCAGGAAAAAAGTCACAAAACAAAAATATTATTGAAAGTCTTAATCTCTCTGAAAAAATAAAACAAAACGAAAGTAAAACCTTTTACGGGGTGATCTTATCCTTTGTTAACTAAAAAGCAAATAGTTCTCCACAGAAGAGCCACAACTCCCAAATAATACAAATGCTGCATAAGGGCCATTTATCTCTATGCAAATAATTAAAGGCTATCTCTAATGGAGATCTTACATCATAGTGATTTCTCTTTATATCAGTAATAATGATGACAAGAAGTATAAATTAAGGTGTCAACATTTCTGCAAATTTTTGTTCTTTATCTTAGTTTTGCTTATAGACTCCACTTGAAATAGCTATAACAAAAATTCTTCCTCTTTTTCTTTTCTATCAGTCTCTAATATTTAAGAAAACTTTACTTACAGTATAATTGAAAATCTACCTGTGGATCGAGTCCAAGTCCAGCTTTTATTAGGATAAGGGTAAGGGCAGTGTTTCTTAAAGTTGAAGACCACCTGTTACTCACATGGACCAAGTCACTGATAAATGGAACATTCCTGATGATAAAACCAGCCAGTAACATCCCTTCAAAAAAGAAAATAAATCATGTCTGATTCAGTTCATTTTTCCAAGAGGAACACAGAAATGTTTGATTTCCCCTCTTCAAATATGTCTTCATTACCTTTGTGAAGGGCAAGTTACACACAAGTAGAGGAGAAAGCATAAAGAAATGGGGATAAGAAATGATATATCTCAATGGGATAGAACTAGTAATCCAGTGTTGCTGGGACATAGAGGGCAAAGATGGGAGGGAGTGGGAGAATGGGCAGGTGGCTCAGATTGTGAATAGCTATTGCCACTCCACACTCCCACTGGCTTTGGCAGAGTAAGGGACCATGGGGACATTTTAGTCAGGAAGTGGCATAATGAGTCTTGCATTTTCTATGTGATGGTCTTGGTGAATTAGATAGATATAAAATTGGAGGAGAGACCAATGAAAAGCCTCTGCCATAGTCCATGGTATAGCTGGAAACAAATAGCTTAAGCTAGGGCTTAAGAAAGGTTTTACTTTCGTTTTGTTTTATTTTTTCAGAGAGATTAAGACTTTNCAGAGTAAAAGTTTTGAAGAGGAGGAAAGAAGATTCAAGGAATACTTAGGAGGTGCTAAAGAGTGTNGAAAACAAATAGCTTAAGAGGAGGAAAGAAGATTCAAGGAATACTTAGGAGGTGCTAAAGAGTGTAATGAACATAGAAACGGTGTTAGAGATAAAATGGAGAGATTATTTCTGTTAAAATTTTACTGAATATCTGGATGTATTGAATACTTAAAAGATAAGAGACACTTCTGATAGAAGTTTTTCCATTAATTTTCCTCTGTCTACCTGGAGAGTTATGTAATAAGGTGATGAAGAAATAGGGTATAAAATGGGTCAGGCAAGTGATGTATCTATGAATACACACAGTGGAGATGCCCAAACAGCTTACTTAAAAACCGTAAGACTTTTTGATGCTATAGGCATTATAATATTTGAATCATATAATTGTATTTGAGTTAGGTTATCTACAGAAAAATTCAGTCTTTTCCAAATTTTTCATTTTCTATAATACATTTAAAATTAAGTAAAAAATGTCCTAATGATAAAGCAACAAGAATCATATATTGAGCATATTTAAGTTATTTTAAATATATTTCAGAAAAAAATCTCTGTGCATATATAGAGAGAATAAATATTTCTATAAATAAGTTATATATACCCATATACATTACATACACATATAAGGAAGCTATATATTACATTAAAACATTTCTAAATTATATTTACTCTGACTAGAATATGCTCATAATTTACATATAGTCAATAAAAAGAAATAAAGGCTAATTATACCCTTACCAAGAAGAGGTGGAAGTGGAGGTACTGAAGGTATTCTAATGAGTTCCAAAAGTTTTCCCCCAACTAGGGAACTATAAAAGACAATGAATAGTCCAAGTAAATTTGCTTCAGGGTGAAGGCTAAGGCCTGAGACTGACCAGATTGCACACCATATCATCAGAAGTAAAACTCCTGAAATATTAAAAAAATACATTATCTATATCTACATATATATGTATACATACACACAGGCATAGATATATATCTGAAAATGAATTTTATTTTATCAAATATCTTATTAATAGCCAGTCCTATCTAATGATACATAGTGTAGACTACCAATTTTCAACCAGTGTGCCACAAGAATTTTTAAAGCATGCCATATCTGACTGTTTAGTCAGGAGCACTGACCTCTTTTCCCTTAGACTATCAAATAAAAAAATGACAACAGCCAACAGAACGATAGTCACCAGATGTGAATGCCCTGTCTTGAACCATAAATATATAGGTCATATAATAGAGTTGTATCTTACCGGTCAAGTCGCATAATAATGCTGCATATGTTTGGTTAATTCTTGGTACCAGAAATCCTTATATATACAAGATTAGAGACCTGGTTTTTATTTTTGTTTCTTTAATGTTTCTTATTGATTTTAGAGAGAGGGGAATGGAGAGGGAGTAAGAGAGAGACATCCATGTGAGAGAAAAACATCGATCTGCTGCCTCCTGCACACTCCCTCACTGGAGATCAAGCTGGCAACTGGGTATGTAGGCACCTGATTTTTAAAAAGTTACTTTGGAGCAAACAGGGTAGGTAAATACTATTGAATTTTTTTTTGTAAATCAATCAAAATTATACCTATTTTTTGTCAGAACAGCAAAAATGTATTTTTTGGTGTGCTGCAGAGTTTTAGTAATTAGTTTATGTGTGCTGTGAGATGAAAAATGTTGACTATCACTGGTGTAGACTAACATCACTTGCTAGTTTGGTTGAAGAAATATCTGTTTAACATATATTCCAAAATCCCTGCCAATTTATGGGATAAGTTTTAAACAAAGTTTTTATTTAAAAAAATATTAAAACTATATGTGAATCCTTTAAAGTGCTAAATATTTCTCATAATATATGACATTTTAAAAATGTCATGGCAATATAATGAGATTTACTTCATTTTATATTTTTAAAGTAGCTTTTCTATCAGGAATAAGAAGATGATTGGTTGTCATAAGAATTCTCAAATTTACTGAAGATCCCAGTGGCAATGTGTCAATTTTTTTTAACAGGAGCAGAATAAATCTTTGTATTGAAAGGATAACTCAGTTGATATTTGTTATAAATTATTAAAGTGTGTAATGGCTAGAAAAAAATGAAACCTGGTCTTTGGGAAAATATAAAGTACCTTAGTTATGTATGGAAAGTAGAGATGGACAGGGTGAGTAAGGACAAGGTAGTAGACATCTTGTTTCTAGCAACTAGATACTAAGGAAAGGCCCTGCGAACAAGGGAATCCATATCTTTTTTGATCTAAGAGAAGTTTTTTTTATTGAATATATTGGGGTGACATTGGTTAATAAAATTATGTAGGTTTCAAGTATACAATTCTATAATACATCATCTGTATATTGTATTGTGTGTTCACCACCCAAAGTCAAGTCTCTTTCCATCACTATTTCCCCCTTTACCCTTTTCTACCTCCCCCCACCCACCTTTCCCTCTGGTCATGACCATACTGTCCACCATACTGTCTGTATCTCTGAAGTGTTTTTCTTTTTTTCTTAATCCCTTCACCTTTTTCACCCAGCCCCAGGTATCAGTCTGTTCTCTTTATCTATGAGTCTGGTTCTAGTTTGCTTGTTAGTTTATTTTGTTCATTAGATTCTACATATAAGTGAAATCATATGGTATTTGTTTTTATCTGACTGACTTACATTTCACTTAGCATAATACTTTCCAGGTCCATCTATGCTGTCACAAAAGGTAAGATTTCCTTTCATTTTATGGCTAAGTAATATTCCATTGTATAAATGTACCACAGCTTTTTGATACACTGATCTACTAATAGGCATTTGGGCTGCTTCCAGATCTTGGCTATTGTAAATAACAGTGCTATGAACATAGAGGTGCATATATTCTTTTGAGTTAGTGTTTCAGGTTTCTTTGTATATATTCCCAGAAGTGGAATTGCTGGGTCATAAGGCAGTTCTATTTTTAATTTTTTGAGGAAACTCCATACTGTTTTCCATAGTGGCTGCCCCAGTCTGCATTCCCACTGGCAGTGCACTAGGGCTCCCCTTTCTCCACATCCTCGCCAACACTTGTTTGTTGATATATTGATGATAGCCGTTCTGACTGGTGTGACATGATATCTCACTGTGTTTTTAATTTGCATTTCTCTGATCATTAGTCACATAGATTTTTATAAAGGATGGATGGTTATACTGTAAATTGCCATCTGTAATTTAAATGGCTACATTCATTTACTATAAATCATAATTTCTAATGCTTTTTCAGGTTCTTAAAACCTGAAAGATGCTTATGTGCATCTTTAGCTGTGATACCTTTTTGGTTTCATAGTACTGCCAAGGGTAAAAGAGGAGGATTTTGACAAACTCAAGGCAGGAAGTTAGAACTGAGATTCTTTTCCTCTCCCCTCTGACTATTTTTACTCCACAAAATTAAACACTTGAAGGACTGAACTCTTACTAAAAACACAGACCAGAAAATACCATCCTACTGACAGAGAGAAGAGAAAAGGCAGTTTGTCTTCACTGCTCTCTGGGTGATAAAATCACCTCTAAAAATTCATATATAAAATAGGCCTCATTAACTTATGTTTAACTCAAATTTATATGATTTGCATGGTTTGGGAGCCTCCAAACCCTAAGCCTACCATAAAAAGTGTCTTCCCATGGAACTATCTGTAGGGCAATTAGTAGATGCTAGTTCAAAATATCCCCAATAAACACTCCTGATTCCAGAGAGCATAAAATCCTGAAGATAAAGCCCCACTGAATCTGAAATTAAAATAAAAACTTACAAATTAAGAAGTAATCCCCTATAAGCAAAAGTTGATAGGTACAACAAAGAATGGGGTTAGATATCCAAAAACCTCAGCTAACAGAACTACTAGATACATACCATAAAATATATATTTTCATAGATACACAAGACAATTTAAAAAGACTAAAGATATAAGAAAAAAATACCTGGCACAATGTAAAAGATCCAATAGGACATCTAGAAAGAAACTAAAAAAGTTACTGAAATGAAAAATACAACAACCAGGTACTTTAAACAGCAGGCTAGATACATGTGAAGAGAGAAATATGGCAAGCTGACAGATGTGAGAAAATTACCTAGGGTGTAGCATAGCAAGAAAAAGGAGATGAAAGAATATGAGATTTTTAGATTTTGAAAAAGGTGTAAAATACATCTAATGGTAGTTCCAGAAACAGAATTAAAAGAGTGAAGAAGATACAATATTTGAAAAAGATAACTGGCTAAAAAATTTACAGAATTGATAAAAATCACAATCAGTTCTGTACTGATTTGGAAACAGGAAGCAAAATGAGCTCTTACCAGTATTAAATAAAAATAGATGCTTAGACAGATAGCTGAGAAGCTATAGACGACTAAAGACAAAAATAAGGTGTTGAAGAATCCAGAGAGAGAGAGAGAGAGAGAGAGAGAGAGAGAGAGATTTGTGATAAATAAACATTAGAGCAGATTCTCAGTTCTCAACAGCAACAACAGAAGATGAAAGATAATTAAATAAAGTCTTCAAAGTGCAAAGAGAAAATATCCAATGATGAATTCTGCAGGCAGTTAAACTATCGTTCAAGCAAAGGACAAATTAAAGATATTGTCAAGCAAATATATCTAAAAATATATTCCATTTTTACTGGGGGGAAATTATTGGAAGATATTCTTTAGGAATAAAGACATAGGATCAAAGAGGAAGGAATCATTTATAAGACATTTGTAAACATGTAGGTTAGCCTAAACAGGTTTTGATTGTATAATACATAACCGATCAAGATTGCTAAATCAAGGGATGTAAAAATAAATTGGGGTAGGATTTCCAATAACAATGACATGAAGAGGTTGGTGATTTATTTTAACAAATAAACCTACATATAAAACTATACAAAATTATAAGAAACAACCATTCCAAGATCCTGACAACTGACCAAAGGCAGTTATCAAAGTGAGAAGTGTTTATTCTTGAAAATGTGCTAGAATTTGGGTAGGATAAGTGACAGTCTGAGGCCTTCCTGCCCAGAATTGCTACCATTCCTTCTCTCAATTTCCCTACCTCCATCTCAATTGGGAAAAATTATAATTTTACAAGTATGGATCTACACATAAAACCAGCAGCTTTGCTACCAGAAGAGGTAGCATCTGGGGTAGATCTGATGTGGAGTAAAGGGAGAAAAACCATTACTTTGTAGCTAAAAGGGACAGACTGTATTGGGAATGGGCAGAGAAAACATACACTTTTGCTACTTTGAGGTTGTAGTCCAAAGTAGGATGAGTGTCAGATCAGCTAAAAATGTAAAACTAGGAGATCCTGAGTATGAGAGAGTCATAGAAAGGTTGAGATAGGTTTTCCACATGTCCATGGCTGACTGAAAAAGTATGAAAGTGAAGGGAAAACTCAAGAGAGTATGGAAAAAAGTAAAAATTAGGTGAGACTTAAGTACTAGCAATTTTTTTTGGTTTTTTAAATCCTTACCCGAGGATGTGTTTTTATTGATTTTTAGAGAGAGAGAGAAAAAAAAAAAATCAATGTGAGAGAGAAACATGTAAAAGAGAAACATTGATCGGCTGCTTCCTGTATGTGCCTTGACTGGGGATAGAACTTGCAAACTTTGTATGCACCCTGACCAGGAATTGAACCCACAGCCTTTTTTTTTGGTGTACAGAACAATGCTCCAAACCACTGAGTCACCCAACCAGGGCAGAGTACTAGCAACTTTGAATGCATTCTTCAACCCACATACAGATCACTTGGCAGATGTTGGAGTCTTACTGGCTTGAACACAATGTCTCCCCCAAATCATTAGGTGACAAAAGGGAAACTCCTAAGAGGACAGGCTAAAAGACAAACAAATAAACAAAAATTAATAAGAGACATGAGATGCTGCAAACCAGGGGCAAAAGTATTTCCCAGTTTAAGTACATGCAAATT